GGAACGGGCGCCCCCAACAATTCCTCGTCCAATCGTCCATGAAGTCTGAAGATTATTTAGTTACAATCCAGAGGTTACAATCAACTTATATTATATGGTAACAGTTTGTTGGGCATTGATATTTCCAATATTTGTAGAGTGCGGGCTAGAGACCTACTAGAAATCTTCGTAGACTTTTTATTCAGGTCTCTAGTTATGCTAGTTTGTATTATATTATGTAATAAATTATTTGCAGTCAATCACAATATTAAAGGAATATATATATATATATATATATATATATATATATATATATATATATATATATATATATATATATATATATATATATATATATATATATATATATATATATATATATATATATGTTGTTGTTTTTTGAGGTAAAACGAAAAACTATATTACGCTCTATCTATATGATATTGAGCACTGTTTGTGTTTCGTAAACCAAAATCTTAAGCTATATATATATATATATATATATATATATATATATATATATATATATATATATATATATATATATATATATATATATATATATATATATATATATATTTATATATATATGTATATATATATATATATATATATATATATATATACTGAAGACTATATTCAAAAAAATAGTCGATGAGTTGACGTAAGGTAGAAGAGCGCTCAATACCATAAGTAGAGCGGAATTAATACATTCAAACCTTGACTGAATTATATATATATATATATATATATATATATATATATATATATATATATATATATATATATATATATATATATATATATATATATATATATATATATATATATATACTATATATATATATATATATATATATATATATATATATATATATATATATATATATATATATATATATATATATATATATATATATATATATATTGACAAGAGAGAAAAAGAAGAGAAATTGTTCTTATTATAGAAGTGAATACCAATGTTGTAGATGCATTTGGGTTCTTATAAGAATTAGACTACAATATACTATTACATGTAATTTTGTCATATAGCAGAATGTTTTATAGCATGTTTTATACATTGTATAGTAAAAAATGTTGTTTAATTTGCTTTTTGAAAGTGCTGTTGAAATTTATTATATCTATAAATTTTGTTTCTAATGAATATTGTGTATATATCAATCATAAATACGAACAAACCCAATGCATTCATACTCGTCTGTTTGCACACAGATGTACAAACATTGTTTTAAAACATGGGGAGAATTTGTGAAAAGTTATAAAGTGCATTGCAAAATCTTGAATTTTCAAATGCAAGAAATTCACAACTTTGATAAAAAAATCCTCAGAAAAATGCTCGGAAAATGCTCTTCCAAAGGCTTTGGAAACACAAAATGTTTTGGGCGGGGGCTGAACCAAGAGGAATTCTGGGGCATGCCCCCTTTCTCAGAAGATCAAACAATAACTTTCAACAACCAATCAGGAGCGGTCATTCCAAGGCAATTTCAACCAACCAAGTGCGAGGTTGGGTAAGTTTCGCGCCTTATTTAGTTTCGCGCGGAGGCCTGGCCGCATAGTTTTGTTTACATTTTACGGAACTGCAACATAGTGCAAGTAAGCATCATATCATTCAACAACGATGAATAATTTATACCGTATGCACTTTAAAGCCGCCGAGAAGAGCTATGCTTTCGTAGATGCAAGAGTAAGATACGGCTCGTTGGTCTTATAACTTCAACATGCTAGAAACGCCGGGCTAAAATCAATGGGGAACATATAAAAACAACACCATCGACAAAATGTTAGGGTTATTTTATAGACGGAGATCTTTATCAAATGTAAACCTGTGGTCTAACTTCAATTTACGCTATTTGTGTTGTGTTATTGTTGTCATTCTCAGTACATTCCAGCTTGTTTATAGCGATAATAACTCAACAGGTAAGTTTGAATAACGGCATTGTAACTTGATTTCACTAAAGCAACATATAAACCCTTTGGAAAGTATACACAGTTTTGCTGCGTGCTATTGTTTTGAAGCGACTAGAGAATGCCATATTCGACCTTGTATTTAAACAAATATTGCCTGCGATTAAATATATTTGCAGCTGCATAGAATAATAGATTATATGTGCGATGACCTGTACTTTGGATTCGATTTTCAAGCCACATTTTTGAAACGGGATTAGGTGTATTAGGGTTCGTTCTATCGAACTTAATTATATGGTGTTTATATCAACGAGTTTATAGCTATTTCTGGTTGCTATTTGCTTATCTATATATATAACTAAATTAAACAAACTATACTCAAAATGATATCACGAACAGAATATCGGAGGAAGCTCATATGTAGCAGGAAAAAGCGTGCTATAGTTTCAAAGTACTTTCGATTTGTTCTGGTTATTATATTAATTGTAACTCTTTTCTATAATTTGCGACAGTTACGCTTGTTCGAAAATTCACAAATGTCAAGTAATTGCGACATATGTTGAGATTTGTTCTAATTGGAAAAAATTCTAAAATGTCATCTTATTTGTGACATTTTGGGCCAAAATGCCATTTTCGGGTGAGACTTTTATGATCATTCGAAATGCTGGCGCGCGTTTAGATTAAGTCACTTGTCGAAGTGTTTGTTTAGTTTATAAAGTAACTTTCAAAAACTAGACGTAATGTCTTGTACTTCCCGTCAAAATGGCCCCTTTTTTTAAGCCCTTTAATAGTTGATATGTTAATTTTTCCTGTTATGTTGTTCCATTGTGTTTGCCAGAGATTAGTTTCACCATATGTGGCTTGACGATGGAGAGCTATAGATTAATTATTCACAAGGTGTGGTGTTCAAATTCAGGAGCAAACAAATTATTATTTTAAACTACTACATATGATAAAAAAATTAACATCATTTTCTCACTTTTGATAATTCTGCTTGCCCAACTCTGCTGCATATACTTCCTTGTGAAATGCAATATAACCATAATCGAATTATTATTATTCCTTATAGCACCTCAATGTCAATGTAATTCAACAACAACTGGTCCTAGCAGCCTAAATGCTACAGAGGCTATTTGTAATAACTGTACACAAGATACTATAAACTGTAAAAAAGGATACCAATTTTCGAATGGGACATGTGTTAGATGCTTTTGTAATTCTACCACAAAACCAACAAACTGTAATTGTACAGATGTACAAATGCCACAAAGCAAAATATGTTCGCCTGGGCAGTTTTTTTCAAATTCAAGCCAACCATGCATAAACTGTAGTTGTAATGTCCACACAAGTTTGAATAACAATTGCGACAACAGAACAGGGCAATGTTTTTGCCAAGAACATGTGACAGGGCAGCATTGCACAATTTGTGCTGCAAACTATACAGCAAATTATTCAAGTTCTGGAGAACTTTTAAAATGTTTTAAACAATGTCCTACGGGCTTTAAAAGAGCAGAGAGGAACGAATGTATCAAAGCAAACAGCACAAGTTCATTGCCACTAGTGATGTCCAGTACCCATGGTATAATCACATCTACAGATAGCGTGGTACCTACCAGCATATCAAGTACTCCAGTATTAACAAGTCTGTTGACTGAGGTACCATCAAGCCCCCAAACACCATCAACATATCTTGTACCATCCAGTAACTCACCAATACCAACACCCTCACCATCAATCACCATAGAACCCATTCAAACACCATCACCTACCATTGAGTCACCATCACCATCACCATCACCATCATCGTCATCACCATCACCATCATCGTCACCACCACCGTCATCATCACCACCACCACCATCGTCGCCATCATCGTCATCACCACCACCATCATCGTCATCACCACCACCATCATCGTCATCACCACCATCATCGTCATCATCGTCACCACCATCACCACCACCACCATCGTCACCACCTCCAACAACTGGTAAACCAATGTCAACCAACACACCACCCACATCAGTAAACACACCAACTGACCATGTACCTACCGCTGGTCAAGAAAGTAGCCCTAATCCACCAACAAAGCCAACAACAGACAAGCCATCAAGTGAAAAACGAACGACCAAAGTCCACCATACAAAAAAGCCGAGTAAAGGTGGGTAAATTTTATGAATTTATTTGTTCTCCTTGTACAATGTGTCAATGTACATTAACAAACAAGAAAAATTCCTGCCTCCCACACAGAACTTGAACCTGAAACCAATGACTATATAAGGGATGACCTTACCAGACTTTTAGGACTGATGATAAAGCAGCTCCTCATAAGATTGTTTAAAATTAGAATTAGATTAAATATCGAATATAAATTTAGTTTAGGTTTCATCCTGACATCCTGTACTAACACTAACACTGGATCAATAATAAGATGATCCTTACTGGACCTCTAGGGAGAACAGTTTAGAACTGATAGAGCTATCCAGCATATATCGTTAGATTAAGTAGCCAATATAAAGTTAGTTTAGTTTAGGTTTCATCCTGTAGTAACACTGGATCAATAAGAGATGACTGTTACTGTCACCTCTAGGAAGAACAGTTTAAGCCTGGTTCACATATGACTGCAGTATGCCTGCGACTGTATCATTATGCCTCTACTTGCCGCCGAAATACCGGCAAAGTTGAACTCAAATCAACTTTCCCGGCCTACCGCCGATGTAACTGTGGCACTAGAGGCAATCGGCGAACAAATATTCACATAATTTACGTTTTAAGCTACCACTGGCATCGTCGCCGGTATGTCGCAGGCATATATGTGAACCAGGCTTTAGAACTGATACAGCATATATCGAAAACTTAACCATTCAATAATTTACTTACAGACAATAGTTCGGATACCGTGGTTATTGTGGTGACCTGTGTTGGTGTGGTAATCATCCTTGCCATAGCTATCGCAGTTGGTTGCTATTGTCTTCGCTCCAAACGCAAACCATCGACTCCATTCTGGACTGTGGAGCTATCGAACACGAGAAATGAGGAATTAGATTTCGCCTTGTTAGACCCAGTCACGGACGAACCACATAAGAAAGCTAATGATACTGGCGAACCAGATGCCTCGATCACAGAGCACTCAAGATACTATGCCTACATTTAGGATATATGGCTCAGATCAGTGCGAGGATTACTTTGACATTACGCTACAGAACAAAGAGGGTGTTTCATGAGGGTGTTTTTTAAAGCTTTGTAATATGTTATGACTGCATGCATCTTCACCTCTGTGACCTAGCGTCGGTAGTATGCAAGAATAGTGTCCCCGGGTTTTCCCTGAATTCTTCTTCGCCTCCACCGCAGACATCTCCACAGGGCTCCCGTAGCTTCTTCTTCCAATGACAATGGTCGACAAGGGAGAACCCTTACTATAAACGTCTACATGGAAAGGTTTAGAACCGATAAAACTGAATCTAGATAAAAATTAGTTTAGTGTTCCATTCAACTCAAAAAAGATCTCAGGAAACGCTACGTTACAAACTAAAGTCTGGATCAAGCGAGTATGAGTTGGCCAGTCATGCTTTCCCAACACTATCATGACTCATGTATTCTATTTAAGTTGAAACAAAATGGGTCATCATCTACCTATACTATCCAGGCTCGTGGTTGGTTGATTATAACAATGAAAGACAATAAAACTATAGAAATCGTCTTTCTAAAGATTTTTGTTTCTGATTTGTTTCTGAAAGCCAATCACAAAACATGATCATTTTAGATAGGTCTTTACCCAACAAAATTGGAACACTCGTCAAACCTTTATTTTGTTTTAAAATCTAGAGCTTGAAATGTCCTGCGCAAAGGCCGATTCAGACTGCACAACTTTCGACCTAAAACTGTCGTATGTAACCTGCTTACAACTTGAGTTGTACTGTGTAAATCAAGCATAACTCACTTACGACAACGTAAGTGAGTTGTGTACTTGATTTACACAGTACAACTCAAGTTGTAAGCAGGTTACATGCGACAGTTTTAGGCAAAAGTTGTGTGATCTAAATTGGCCTTAACAATTCTGACTTGGCCTTGACAAGTGACTGCCAACTCGCATCACGTTCGACTGGGGCTTAATCAGTTTTATTATATAAAGTACAGTGCTTTATAGAGATTTCGAGCACTGATAAAAGTGATAATCTCACATGCGAGATTATTCATGATAATCTCACATGTGAAAATTATCGCTTTTCTGTAAAAATTATCGCTTTTCAAAGACTGTCCTTTATATAATAAACAGAAAAATACATGGGTGCTTGGAAATACCAGATTTATTTCTCGTAACACTCGAAATAAATCTGGTATTTCCGCGCACCTATGTATTATTCTCTATATAATCATCCATGCTCCACAGGCTAGTGTTTAATTGTCGGCTACTAAAAAAGTACTTGTTGGTGGGTGGGTGGGTGGGTTGTTAAAAAATTCAGTAAGGATAAGGTCTTTTTAGTTGAATGGTTTGTTTTTTAAATTTCTGATATAAGAAATACCAACACTTTTAATTGAGAGTGAAAAGGATTTTTATGAAATAAGAATTTTTATGTATTTAGAAAATTATTTATTGACGGAGTGCACAATGTGTTTGTTTGCTACCACTAAAATATAATTGTTTCCGTCTTACTGTATAGATTGATCTATACTATGGAAGTTTCTTCGAGTAAAATAATGTACTATGTAGTGTTATACATGCTCTATGACGTGACTAATAATTATTATACGCATGTAAATATATGTAGAAATGAAACATTTTCAATGATTCTACTTGTGGCTGTTTATATACTGATCAACGAGCTTCTCCAAGATGGACATAGGTACTGCGCTCTCCAGCAAAACAGCATCATGAAACTCCTTCAAGTCAAACTTGTCACCTAGATAAATATATTATCTTAGATAATATACACAATACAGGGTTGTCCCAAATGCAATATTTTAGATGAGTCCCAGACTTACACACAGTCAATTATTAATGGGACACTAAAATTATTCTAGAAATCCACAGAATAAGTAAGAGCACATCGACCTTTATAAAATCTCAAAGTCTGACTGTTAATCGGGTCAATACTGATCAAGATACAGCAATTCAAAAACCAAAAAATGACTATAGTATGGATTTGAGGACTTCCGGTGATTTGTCCGGACAACCTACGTTTCGATTCTTTGTAAATTTTTTGACGCCCATGTTGAGTGCTTCCCTTACACACTTTAAGAGAACCGTCATTTCCATGTCCTGTTTTAATATCCCGAAACCCCGTCTGCATTACGGAGGCTACTAAACATCGCGTTTAACTAGCGAAAACAAGAACTCAATTGAAAAGACGTTGAAATGTGGTCATTGATATCGATCATGAAATGAGGTTGTTATTTTCGCTTGAAATGTGGTTATTGAAATGAGGTGGTTTATAGCAAGTGATTATGGGCAAACGTCCCGTCGCCTAACGAACCTCCGCCCCCGACTACGGTATGTACCTACCGAGTTCCGTTTCGGCTTTTTTCCGAAGTTCTTTGATCTTGATTTCTCCAATCTTGTAACTGCAAGCCTGAGTAAGGTACATGATTGGGTAAATATCAGATTTTGGGCATCTGGGGACAGACTGGGGTTGGTTTACACTATCAAAGTTTCTGTGATCACAGTAGGAATTTTGCATTAGGTAAATTTTAAGTTTTGAAGGATTTGTAAGAAATGTTTGAGGAAATAACTTGGTGTGTTTAACATTAAATCAGTTCCCCGAAAACTTCTTACAAATCTTCTTAGAAAACTTCTTAGAATTTACCTAATAAGTACTAGTTAAAACATGAGCAGCTGATCTTTATCTGATATACAACTCGAGCAGAAGGCGAGAGTTTGTATATCAGATAAAGATCGGATGCGAATGCGAGTTCATTGGCGAAGTAATTTTAAAAACAAACATTGTCTAAGCCGAGAAAATCAAAGCTGAAGTTTACGTAAATCAGGACAAATCTTTATCCGATTTACAAACATTGATCAAACATTCATTTCTTTTGTATTTTCCGCATGAATTATTGATGTAATCATTTATTTAAACCAGAGTAGCGAGCGAAACATGATTGATATACCTGGTTGCAGTGAACGAACAAACTTTATATTATTAATGAGTTTTTTAAGTACAGTGCAAAATTCCTACTGTGATCACAGAAAGTTTGATAGTAAGTGTAAACAAGGCTATAGACTACGCTGCGATAACACGATCAACAGGGCGTTCTAGCTAAGACTCAGTCCCTTCAACTAACCTGACCAGGCCATGTGATGTAACGGTCAACTTCAGATTGAATCTCACGATCTGGCAGACCTGCGTTATTGGTAATGTAGTCCACTGCTTGTTGTCGAGTCCAGCTAGATATTCAAAATTGCAAATGATTAGAGAGGTTGAGATTTGACTGTCGTGAGATCCTTGTAAAAATTTGGAACAGAATCTTAAAGGGTCCTATTAGGATATCGACTGCAAGATCCTATAGCAGGGCTTGAAATAACGTTCCCAAAGTTCCCGATCATGGTGATCGGCAGTCGTGACTTTCCCTGATTTTTTCAGGTTGGAAACCGAAACCCTGCTTTTCCGCCGATCATAAGCAATTCCTTGCCGATCATTGATCGGTGATCGGTTGTTATTTCAAGCTCTGTATAGAGTCTTGTAAGACCCTGTAAGATCTTGCAAGGACCCTGTTTAGGATCTTGTAAGATCCAATAAGATCTTAATATGTATAGAATATATACGATCTTATTAAGATCTTACAAGATCCTATAAGATCTTATGTAAGAACATATACGATCTTATTAAAGGCTAATTTCCACTCAGGAAAATTATCCGTGGATTGGAACGGACAAGAAAATTTTTCTTTGTCTTGTGAGCTCTGGGTTGGAACTAATGACTTTAACGCAAAGAAAAATTTTCTTGTCCGTTCCAATCCACGGATAATTTTCCTGAGTGGAAACTAGCCTTAAGATCTTACAAGATCCTATAAGATCGTGGTGGGATTTAAAAGATCCTATCAAGATTTAGTACGACCTTAAAAGATATTCCATATTCGTTCCATATTCCATACTGTCCTTTAATTTCCAGAGAAAATGAAACATTCCATCGGTACTCACCCTTTAACGTGCATTCCAGTGTCCACGACACAGCGACAGGCACGGAAAATCTCGGCTGAAAATCGGCCAAACCTGCAGCGAGATATAAATATATGTGTATATTGTAATACCGACTCATTTGTAGCTGATTAAATCTAAACTACTACTGGAAAAATATCAAACGTTCTGTTGTTGAGAACATTGTAACCATGCAAAGACATGAACAACATAGCAAGAAGCATTGGACTATAGTATTCCAAAGGTCGTAGGTTCGATTCCACCGTGGCCAGGCATATTTTTCAAGCTTGCCTGGTGTGGATCCAGAGTGCATTCCATGCACGTTTTGTGGAAGATCTTCGGCGTGAGTTTTGAATTGTTGGCGCACAATCACATCGAGGTTGGCGCACAAATTTTGAGTTTTGGTGGTTGGCGCAGCATCAAATGTTTAAGCGAGACTTTGAGTATTTATAATCGCCTGGTGATTGGATTGGCCTCTATAATACTTGTAACAATAGGGACTCGAGAAATTTGTGTTCCTGGTCAGTGTAATATTACTAAATGGTGGTTATAACTTGTGATACAACAGAACAGTAACAACACTCATCATTGCTCATCAGCAAAACATCTTATTCATCAATTACATGCCTTTTTAGCAAGTTTTAATTTTTAAAAAACTAACTATTAATGAAAAATCACGGTGCCCACGATCAGCCGGCGCACAAGTTGACCTCATTTGGCGCACGACAACACTACCTCAGATTATCTTCGGCGTGAAGTTTACACGGAATGCACCCTGGGTGTGGATATACACTCAGAGTAAGATCACAAGCATCATAGCAAGAACTAGGTAGGTAGGTAAAACTTTATTTCACCACGCTAACCCCTACAGCAGAAAGCTGATTTCCAGGGGGGCGTAGGTATTCATATAAAATAACGAAACATATTTACATCAGAGACACACTATACACTACATATACACACTACATATTTAAATAAAACTATAACAATAATATTATAATACGATTACCGGCCAGGCATTGCAAAATTAGTATTAAAGGAATAAAGAGAATCCTTAGTCCTTAATTCTTCTGAGAGGCTAAAGTAGTAACTAATACATTTTTATAACTTACAGATCGTAAGGAGTTTTATAGACTTTCATTTCTTCTCCAAGAAACTCTGAGTATAAGCCCCAACCCTGAATGCAAAAATTGAATGCAAAAATTAATAATAAACTTGGGTCACGGATAGGTACTTTCTCTAGCTTTCTAATATAGTCCGTTTTTGGCATAACCCAGATCAAACTGAACATTTATAATTTAAACTTTCTTTTATTAATTGCGAGACCATACCCGTGGTTTCACAGCTTTTTGGGTTTTCTCAGATTGGTATAAAAAATCGTTATTCGCGGTGGTACGACCGGCCATTGTTGTCTGTGAGTGGGGAAACTATGCCCTGAAATCAGGCTTGGCTCTAAGTTTTATCGGCATTGACTAACCTCCATATAAGCTCCATACAAAGCAAATCTTGACGGCACTTCATAATAATGTCGATCTTCAACATATCTTCTGAACGCGGGAAGATTTGTTTGTTCTATTCCAAGACTGCCCTAAAGGTAGAACAGAAGAAATTAAATCATAAACAAGAATACGCTTAGAAAACAACAATCCTGATGGACTAAGGTTCATCTTACACGAAGGTTGTTCAGTAAGGTTGAAATCATATGGTGGTGATGATGAAGATGGTGATGATGATGGCGGTGAAGATAGTGATGAGTGATGATGTTGGTGATGATAGTGGTGACGATGATGTTGCCTTGGTGGTGATGTTGATGACGAAGTGATGTTGCCTTGGTGGTGATGTTGATGACGAAGTGATGTTGCCTTGGTGATGATGTTGATGACGAAGTGATGTTGCCTTGGTGCTGGTGTGATGATGATGGACAGATGATGTGGTGATATGATGATGATGATAATGCCTGTATATTTAGTTTTTTGCAGGTAGCCAAAAACAATTTTCAGTTACCCTGCGTGGTTCAAACTTGCTCGCTTCGCTTGAAGCTTGCAAATTGCGACAGGGGACCTGGAAAAAAACCCCGGAGTTCTGGCATTTGAAAAAGGAATTCTGGCATTTGAAAACGGTATTTTGGCATTTAAAAAGAAAGTTCTGGCGTTTGAAAACGGTGTTTTGGCATTTGAAAACGGAATTCTGGCATTTGAAAACGGAGTTCTGGCCGGCATTTGAAAACGGAGTTTTAATTCTGGCTTTTGAAAACGGTGTTTTGGCATTTGGAAAGGAAGTTCTGGCATTTGAAAACGGCGTTTTGGCATTTGAAAACGGAATTCTGGCATTTGAAAACGGAATTCTGGCATTTGAAAACGGTGTTTTGGTATTTGAAAAGGGAGTTTTGGCATTTGAAAACGGAGTTCTGGCTTTTGAAAACGGAGTTCTGCCTTTAAAACGGAGTTTTGGCATTTGAAAAGGGAGTTCTGGCATTTGAAAACAGAGTTTTGGCATTTGAAAAAGGAGTTCTTGCTTTTGAAAACGGATATCGGACAAATAGACAGGCAAACAAACAGACAGTCGAACAAAGAAACAGACAGACAGGCCCCGGTGGACCTATAATTATAGATTGATGATGATGATGATGGTGATGATGGTGATGATGATGGGGAAGATGATGATTGCCTTGGTGCTGGTGTGATGATGATGAACAGATGATGGTGGTTGCAGGGTGCTACTCTCCAAGAGGTCGGTCTATACCAGCAACGACATTGAATCAAAGCGTACCTGGTGGTGATGTCCTGGGACGGCTTCATGAAGACACAAAGCAGGACAGTCATACGTTGGCCTTAACAACAAAGTGATTGAAGTTAAAAATCCGTTGTATATATGAACGAGAGAAAGAGACATTCGAATATAACCTTTCATTTGTTGCGAAATTTAGTTCTAACGCTTACTTCTTCTCGAATCCGAGGGTATTGATATAAAATATGCCAGGTCTGCCTTCCAAAGAGCCTGCATTGTAGAAAGCTCCAGGAGCAGTCTCGGCCATCTCCGGGGGCATTTCTTTGATCCTGAAAAACAAATAATCCTGGCTAGTGCATGTACGTTCTGTTATCGGGGTTTGGTTCCTGAAATACACGCAGTTGTATTACCACAATTTCCCCTTATAATTTCCCCTTATAATTTCCCATCACAATGTCCCCCTTATCGATGTTAAGCCGTGAAGTACTTTCCTATAATTCAGTTAAGTCAGAATATGACAAACACCCTCACTTCAACTCATTAAAATCATTACTTTACATAAAAACCCAAACCTTATACAATACAATATTTATTACACTCAAAAAAATACATACTCAATAGTCAATAATATCTAAAATTACAATTACAAATTATTACAGAAATAATAAAGCGCGTAGCCATTTGAAATAACGTGCATATGGGGCTAATCTAGTCAGATGACGTATAACAATGATTTTGAAAGAAATATCTTTCAGCAGACAGAAATTAATATCGAGCACAAAATGACAAACAAAGATACGACAATTAATATCGAGCACAAAATGACAAACAAAGATGTCAAAGATACGACACACAGAGTAAAAAAAAACACAAAGAAAATCCGAAAATAATAGTATAGATTGCAAATGAAAAGAAATAAAGAAATACACCTAGTTATACTTACACATATTCCATTTTTGGCAAAGTTTTGAAATATTTTGGCATCAACTGATCGATTTCTTTGCAAGTGTTGTTGTACAGGGCCATAAAGTCATCCTAAAGAGATCATCAAAGTCATAATCCTTTAGTCTCATTATCTGTTCTGTTTTCTACCATACATATATCTGTCTGAACATTCATTTAGACGTGTTCTAAATCTTACCTTCTTGTCCAAATAAAACTGCGGGTCATCCTTCAAATGTTGCATGAATTCTTCCAACGTTCCTTCAAAACCAACTTCCTTCATCACCTGTGCAGAAGAAGATATCAAGGCAAGGCAAGATTAGAGATCTTTTACACGTACAACATTGTCAGGTATCTTTTGACTTCACAGAAACCTCAAAGCTCTGCCGAAAGTCGTGGGTTTCATTTTGGTACTGCGCAGGGCAGGAAAAAAGAATTTTCTTCCTGGGAGCACAACCTGGAGACAAAAATTTCCTGCAGACCAACGGAGTATTTTTGTGCTAAATCTACATGTGCATAAACATATAGTGTTCTAGCTGACCATGGTTTTAAATTCAAGGAATATTATCTGTCAACCATATATGTTGTTGCGCCCATAGTGGGACATGGGTGTTAAGGTTTCTTTCGAATTTTCAATAGCAAATCTTCATTCAAATGAATTTCCTGCAGCTATTTAACATTTCCTGCGAGCGCCGGTACTGCGGTTTCCCCCACAGGGGATGTATATTTGATGTGGCTAGCCTACTTATTGCACAGTTATCGAGTTAGGATCTGACTAAACAAAAGTATAGCAATATTGAGAAAAGGTCTCATTCATCTCAATAATCGTAAACTTCCATTGACCCAACATCTGTTTCTGAGCCGGAGACTTGCATTTTAAAAGTACCTCGTGCATTCGGCCACGGATTCTCTCGACTTCATCCAGACCAGTTTGATGTACTTCGTCGGCTGACATGTCCGTGCTGAGGTGGAATTTTAAGGCCTTAAAAAAAGGAGAATACCAGTTAATTTTGTGTCAACACTGTTCAGCAACCTTGACAATATTATAACGATACGTACTGCTTCGTAATATGCTTTTCCTGAGGGCAATGATATGCACGCAATATCGTCCCGGCAAGCTGGAAGATAGGTCTAAAAATATAGAAAACATTAGATGGACGGCCCAAGATAATATTCTCTTAAAAAGCAAATTAGATACCTAGTAGTAAAAACTTTATTTACCCACGCTAACCCTGTCAACCGAAGCTGATTTCCACAGGGGGCGTGCAATAAGAAAGTACAAGAATATTTACAAAAGCTAATTACAAAAGATAATATCAACTAAATCTAAGTAAATCTAAGTAAATCTAAGTAAATCTATATATATTTACAGGTTTATATTTAAGGTTGTTTTAGGTTCTTGTTTTAATTAAAAATGTGAGTAGCAATTTTATTTTGAAAACATGATAAGGATTTGCACTCCCTAATTTCGCTTGGAATAGAATTCCATATGTGAGCACCGTCGTACATGAAACTATTTTTCATATTATTAGTTCGAGGTTGTGGCAAACAAAGACCACTGGAAATACCCCGAAGTTTGTGACTTGTCACCTCACTTTTATAGGTAAAAAGATTTGCGAGTGACTCTGGACCCATTTTATTCAAAGTTTTGTACATCAGTTTTGCTTTTGCCTTTTTTCTCATCAACGTAAGTGGCTCCCAGCCCAAGGCATGTAAAGCAATAGAATAATCAGTATCATTGCTCATACTCATGATGACTCGAGCGGCTCTATTTTGGAGTTTTTGAAGTCGTTTAGACTGAGTTTTACCTAATACATCCCACACTTCACAACAATAATCGAAGTGTGGACGAACAATAGTGTTATATATTGAAATGAGTGTATCTTTGTCAACAAAAGGTTTGATACGACGGAGAGCAGAGATTCCTGCTGTTATTTTTTTGCAAATATTTTTAGTATTACTTTTCCAAGATAAATGTTGGTCAACTATTATTCCAAGAGTTTTGCATTCATAAACTTGCTTGATTTGTTTGTTTTCAATGAAAATATTTGGGTGAGAATCTTTTATCATTCGTTTTGAGACAATCAACATGAATTCAGTTTTAGCTACATTCAAGCTGAGTTTATTGGCTATTAACCAATTTCTAAGGTTTTCTAAATCAGAATTTACTGCAAACTCAGCATCGTTCATTGAGTCTCCAGAAGCTGTGAGATTTGTGTCATCAGCAAATAGTCGAGGTCTTGTA